TATTTATAAAGGACAAAAAGAGAGTACACTGCTAGTCTTCAGGACCAGGTTCTTAAAGAATTCCTCATTTGGGGCTGGAGAGCTTGCTCAGTGGTTAGATCCAGGTTCCATAACCAGAGGCTCATAGCCACCTGTAACTCCAGTTCTAGGGGATCTAATATCCTCTTCTGGTTTACGCCAGCACTGCACATACAAAGTCTACAAATATACACTTAGGCCCACAGACATACACAAAAAATAAATCTTAAAAAAAATACTCCTCATTTAATCTTACACACTTTCTTAAAGACAGGGTCTCGTGTACTTCAAGCTGGCTGTGTACTCCTCAAACTCACTAAGTAACTGAGGATGATTTTAAAACTTCTGATCCTCTTTCCTTCACCTTCCAAGTGCTAGGATTCAAGGGATACAAATTGGATTTTATGGGGTGCTTGGGATGGAGTCCAGGATTTCATGAATGATAGGTAAGTACTGATTGAGATACATTGCTAGTTAATCTTGCACTAATTCTTTAAGACAACTGTTATTTGCTTGTAAATGCAGAAAATTAGGCTAAAAGAAATTAAGTAACTTTTCCCATGACTCACACATAATAAATGGCAGTGTGAAAATCTGAAACCAAGTATGTATGACTTATTTACTGTAATAGCGGTTTTTGAACTAACCACCAAAGAGTTGTTTTTAGTGGCCACCACGAGCATAGATGGACTTGAGAAGGATTAAAACCTCTTATTCTATTTTATTTGAGGCAGGCCTCATTATGTAGCCCTGGATGCCACAAATCTCGCTGTGTAAAACAAGGCTGGCCTAAAAACAAAAAACAAAAATCCCACCTCTTCTTCATTTATTCATTCAATAAATATTTACTGAGCAGCTCCTATATGTCAGGCACTATTCTAAGAACAAAACAGAGACACAAGTCAGATAAAACCCATTTCCTAATTGATCCATGTTCTACTGGCAGGAGGAATGAATGGAAGCCTGCTAGTAAGGATTTCAGGAAAGAATGGGTAGAGAAACTAAAACTGCAAAAAACAAAGAATGAGCCAGGTGTGCTCAATGGAAAGATTATTCTATAGCTGGAGACCTTATCAGAAAGTGCTAAGACCTGATGTCAGGAAGGCAGACGGAACAAAGCACCTATGCTTTTATAAACTTGGTAAATTCTATACTTAGAATAAAGACTTAAATGTAAGCCCTTTATTCTATATATAAGCAGACTTTTAAGTTAATGACATTACTGCTTTTTTTAAGCTTAAAAAATTAAAATTATGCTTATTTAATGTGTGTACACATGTGTGGAAGTCAAAGGACAACTTGTAGTAGTTTTCTCCTTCCACCATGTGGGTCCCAGGGTCGCTTGCTCGTTGAGCACGGTGGCAAGCACCCTTACCCGCTGAGTCATCTTGCCAGTCCCATTAAGGTTTAAAAAAAAATAGTGATCTACCATTGCTTATATACTGTTTTCATTATATCAGTAAAAGTAAATAACTGTGCTCAATTATAGGTCAAAACTTGTATATAGTAAACTCCACTGTATACACTGTAACTATTCATTTAATATAGCTTAGTATGAAGCAATATTATTCCTGCTAAAATTTCCATGAAATAATCAATTCATGCCTATTTCTCCTATTAACCTTCCATCTCAAGAGGCAGTCTGATTTGTTTCTTATTCAATTTCATCTTTGTAGAAGGAGGGATTTGTGATTATCAAGAAGGGTGGGCTTCTTAGGGCTTAAGAATCAGACTAAGTATATTCCAGGTAGGGCAAATTATACAGAGTTAAAGAGAATGTGTATGCATATGTGTTATGTGGGGGCGGGTGGGGGGGCAGAATGTCATAAGACTAACTCAAAAGAAGGGAGAAAAGGATTTACAAATGAAGGCCTAAGGCAAGATCTTGTTATATAGGCCCTGGAAGGCCAAGCCTACATTTGTCCTTATCCCTTAAAAGCAATTAGATTCTTAAACAGGGTAGTGAATGGGGAAGGGACAGAATTAAATTTTATTCAGAGGACAGGGTAATTAAAGATAATTAGAAGGCTATTCTAGATATTAGACAATTACATATAAAGAAATTGAAGGTCTAGGAGAAAATACAACTTGTACAAGTCACACACAAAATTGTGAGAAAAATTCATGATATATAGGGTGCCTTACTTATTAGAGTTCTTTTGTCCCTTTAATTTTTTTTTTTAATGCTTTTTAGGGGGCTAGAGAGATGGTTAAGCAGTTAAGAGCACTCATTGATCTTCAGAGTACCTGAGTTCAATTCCCAGAACCCACATTAGGCAGCTCCAGGGTATGTGAAGCCCTCTTCTGGCCTCCATATGTACCCCAATGTATGCGCAAACACACTCATACAGAAGCACACACATACACATAAATAAAAAAAGAAAAAAATGCTTTTTTACAAAATCATGCATTCTATACTTAAAATCACATTAAAAGTCTCAGAAAACAGCAGAATGGGATTGTCCATATTCTCTTGGGTCCAGTGCAATCAGTGAGCCAAAATTTCAACAGAAGTTTCTATTTCATGCAATGTTTGTGGTACATTTTCTATGTGCCAGAAACCACAGGTACTGACAGACATAATGGCCTTCATCCTCAAGTTAACCTCACAGGGGGACAGATAAGGAAACCAAAAACAATTAAACACTGTGATAAGTGCTATACATATGATCATGTATGTTAAATAAGCATATTGAGAAGGCAAGAGGAAAGGGATGATATGATAATGTGCAAAGGGAAAAAGGATAAGGATGTTTTACACTGAGAAATCAGTATACGCAAGGGTATAAAGGTGTGACAGTATACTATTCAGTATATGCAAGGGTATAAAGGTATGGAATATACTATTCCAAAGTGTCTGAAGTTTATTCTGTAGGACATTTTTCAAAATGTGGTCTACTGATAGTATACATCAGAAGTACCTCGAGTGTACATCTCTAAAAGTTAGTTTTTTAAATGGGCCATGTATGATCTACTAATTACTAATGTCAAGGAGGTGGGACATTTTAAGTAAGTTCCACTGGGTATTATGTTTGCCAACTAAACTATAAACAACTGTGTTATGTTACAATTACTGGGAAGACTTATAAGACAATAAATGATGCAGTTTTGTGTAACTACAATTAGGTTAAAAGTACAAACTAGAATGAGTGATATTCTAGCAAAATACAGAGAAATTAGGCAGCATTAGGATCTCAAAATTAGCACGCTCAATTCCTTCTCTTCTATTACTACAATTGCTTCTAATCACTCATTTGGAAATTTTAGTTATTTCCAGTTACGTTTCAGTAGCTTTCTCACAAAAAATGGGTTTTTGAAACTCTTCTTCATCTAGTAAGCAATTCTAAAGAACACTGCAGAACCGAGTACGTGAAAAGCTCCATGTTCAAGGAGTACCCCTAACTATGCAAGATACAACTGTTGCAAAATAAAATCGAGGAGGGAAACTAAAGTTAGACACACACACACAAACACACACACACACACACACACACACACAAATACAGATACAGTGTGTGCTATTATATAGGAAGGTACAAAAAGAGGAAGAGGATCCCTTACAAGTAGGATGAAGTAAGAGTAAAGAAGGAAAAAGGATACAATACAATGTGAAATGGATGGAGAATCTACAGGCCAATAAGGCTGTTTATTCATCAGAACAGGGCAGTATCTGGTCTGTTTACTGGTTTCTCTCTTAAACTATGACTGTTGTTTTAATATAGGACCTCTAGTTTTGCTGTGAACTAAATGCTAAAATTTGTAAAGTGCCTAAATGGAAACTGAGAATTCAATAGTTTTAGAAATTGTAAGACTTGATTTCTCCCAAATTTTAAGTATTCTAGCCCTTCCTTAGAATGATTTTTAAAAATTATTTGTTCTCTGCATACATCAAGTCTTCCAGGGAACCAATTCCTCTGTGTGTCTGTTCTCTCTCTCTCTCTCTCTCTCTCTCTCTCTCTCTCTCATCAATCATCTGTTGTGTGTGTATATTTGTGGGCATACGTGGAGGTCAGAGGACAGCTTGCAGAAGTTAGTTCTCTCCTTCACTATGTGGGTCCTGGGGATTTAACTCACGTCAGCAGGCTTGGCAGCAAGTGCTTTAACCCACTGAGCTATTACCAACCACTAAATATTTTATAGTCTTTTATTTTATAGGTTTTA